AAGTTCCCTTTCAGCTGGTAAAACTGCATCATAACTCACAAAATAGTTGAGGTTTGGGAGCTCATCTAGTAGCCATCCTGCCCCTCCATTCCCACACATTCAGCTCCCTGAGCAGAAAGGCAAAAGATGGGGTTTGCGATTCAATACCCTCATGGTTGTGTTAGCACTCCACTCCTCCTGCCAAATGAAACATGGAACTAGTGCCTCTCACCCACACTGGAGGGAGCATCCTCTTTTTCTCAGTGCATACTACTGACACAAACCCAAGAATCACTCTGGCAGACTGGAACAAAATCGATTGGGTGCAACTGCCAACGAGACCACATTTTGCCAAAATGAGACCATTTATCAAGGTCTTCCTTCCTACCCTTCCTGAAAATTAGGCCATTTGCCAGCTTCCAATTGACTAGGACCCCCTCCAGACTCCCACGACTGCTGAAAAATAGTGGAGAGAGGTCCCACAGTAACATCAGCCTGCTCTTTCAGTAGTCTGGGATGAATCCCATTGGGCCCCATAGATCTATGTGCACCCAGCTGGAGCAGCCAGTCTTGAACAAGTGCAGGGTTGACTAGGAGTTTATCATCCCCCAGTCACGGTCTTCCAACACAGAGCTCCAGGGCTCCTAGAGCTCATCATCGGTGTTGAAGACAGAGGTGAAGGTGGCCTGAAATGTCTCACCTATGTCTACATCCCTATTTGTGACATGTCCAGCTCCCATCAAGCAATGAACCAATGTTATCTCTGACTCTCCTTCTCATAAGCTTGTTTCAGTCTCTCACTTTTGAGACACTCTACATAGCTCTGTCATAATGTTAGACCATAAATATGTCAGTATTTTTTTTCTCATCATTAGTTATTCAGCTTTGAACAACCCAAGAATACAATTTAGTAAATTCTAGCAGCATGGTCTTCAGAGCGTATCTGTTGAAAAATGAAGGTATTTACCCTCAAGAAGTTAGAACATGTAAGTGATCCAGCAATAAAAGTTTCACTCATTAGCAGAATTAGTGCAGGGAAGAGAGACCAGTGTCTTTCCTGAAAAATGTTCCACTGAAGGCTTGATAAAAATCAAACAAGTGACCAAACAGCTCATCTCTCCCTTCCTCCCATGGCTGAACACAGGAAAGAGAAGTGCTGAATTTACTATTCTTTTTGAAATCCAGTCTATTTCTGGTTACATTCAATTAGAGAAGCCTCTTTTCTGGTAACCTTCTGTGCTCACCATGCCATCAAAATATTCAGGCAGGGGTGAGGCCATGTTCCAATAAACAGCTGCAAAAATGCTTCCTATGAAAAGGACGTCAAAAAAGTAATAGACGTGCTTTTTGTCTGTAACTATCTGATCTGGGAAAAGATAATTTATTAACTATATTTCAAAGACAAATCAACCTCGTAATTCCCAAATGACCTAGAAGTCAAGGAAGATGCTATGTGCAAAAAATTTCCACTTTTCTATATAAGGAGAATATATAGGATAGAATGTAAAAAATATCCTTTCCCCAGACAGGACACCCAGCATTACATCCCCTCCAGTCCAATGCACAATTAACTCTTTTGTTTCAGTTCATGACATTCCATCTTAATGCTTCAAAATATTGAATTCTGGAGCATAAGGTAATGTACTACTAGAAAAATAATTATCTTTTCATATAAATACATTCAGTTTTCACCTGTAAAACAAAAAATAGGTATACTTGGCACTGCAGTAATGCATTTTAAACATTCAGCAGCACAGGCAGGCCACTGCAAACTGTTACCTAAAAGAACTTTTTTTCTACTATTTTATTCAGCCAGCAGCTTATTAAATGTCAACATTTGAGGTTTTACATTAATGTTATAATTAAATAAAATCAGAACATGAAAAACAGGCAACACAGTGGTAATAACAGCATCTTATTCTGGCTCCCCTGTAACTTAATTATGCAGCTACTGAGGAAAAACTTGCATAATGAAAAAAAAAAATCACACTAAATGGAAAAAAACCCCAACCCAACCAATATTAATTTTCATACCAGACAAGAGCAGAGACACGAAGAACAGACAAGTTTGACAAGAAGACTAGGTGTCATCTGAACAAATACCAGCTTTTATCACAGAGGTACTGAATCCAGTAGAATTCATAATACAACTGGCTGCTTCTACTCAAGTAAAAGAAAATCTGTTGACCAGTCAGATGAGTGTCTTCAAAAATTCATTTCAGTAGTCCTGTTAGAAATTAAGATTTTAAATAGCATTTTTTTTCCATGTTTTGATCAGATTTCCATTTGTGTAGATGACATCTTACACCTGCTTCCAGCTCTACCCTGGCAAACTCAGTTGGTAGAATAATATGAATGGTAAATGTTGTGATAAATTAAATTATCCTAAGATCATAGAGTCATAGAAAAGTTTGGGTTGGAAGGGATCTTTAAAGGTTTCCAGGGATGAGGCATCCTCAACCCCTCTGGCAACCTCTTTCAGAGTTTCACAACCCTCATCGTAAAAAATTTATTCCTTATATGTAATCTAGATCTACCCTATTTTAGTTTAAAACCGTTATCCCTTGACGTATTGCTGCAGGCCCTATTAAAAAGTCTGTCCCCATCCTTCTTCTAAGAATTGAAAGACCGCAATAAGATCATAGAATCATAGAACGGGTTGGAAGGGACCTTAAAGATCATCGAGTTCCAACCCCCCTGCCCTGGGCAGGGACACCTCCCACTAGAGCAGGTTGCTCAAAGCCCCATCCAGCCTGGCCTTGAACACCTCCAGGGATGGGGCAGCCACAGCATCTCTGGGCAACCTCTTCCAGTGTCTCTGTCTCACTACCCTCACTAGTTTCTTTGTAGTATCTAATCTAAATCTCCCCTCTTTCAATTTAAAACCGTTACCTCTCGTCCTATCACTACATTCCCTGATCAAGAGTCCTGGAGTCTTCTCTTTTCCAGGCTGAACAACCTCAACTCTCTAAGCCTGTCCTCATAGGAGAGATGCTATCATTTTTGCAGCCCTCCTCTGGGCTCGCTCCGACAGGTCCATGTTTTTCATGCGCTGAGGGCTCCAGAGCTGGACAGAGTACTCCAGGTGGGGTCTCACAAGAGCAGAGGGGCAGAATCACCTCCCTTGACTGCTGGCCACACTTCTTTTGCTTCAGCCCAGGATACGATTTATCTTATGTGCTGCGAGCTCACATTGTCAGCTCATGTCCAGCTTTTCATCCACCAATACCCCCAAGTCCTTCTCAGGGATGCTCTCAATCCCTTCATCCTCCAGCCTGTATTGATACCGGGAGCTGCTCCGACCACATGCAGGACCCCTCAGGACATTCACATGGGCCCATTGCTCAAGATTGGGCAGAATGCTCTGGATGCCATCCCATCCCCTCAGGTGTGTGAGCTGCACCACACAGCTTGGTGTCATCTGCAAACTTGCTGATGTGCACCCAATCCCACAGTCTATGTCATTGATGAAGATATTGAACAGTACTGGTCCCATTACGGACTCCTGAGGGACACCACTTGTCATCGATCTCCACCTGGACATTGAGCCATTGACCACTATCCTCTGGATGTGACCATCCAACCAATTCTTCCTCCACCAAACACTCCACCAATCAAATCAATCTCCAATTTAGATCAAACTAATCAACTATTTTAATCTAACTTCTTCCTCTGGTTCTGCTAGCCACACCTCAAACGTTGAGGCACTATAATGGATACATACTTCAGACATTAATATTAACAATAAGAACTATGAATATGCTTGATCTCAAGGTCAGTGGTTCTCAAGCTGTGCAACACTAGGCTGCTAAATGTTATGTCCACCTTCCGCTCCAAGCACTACTGAGGGGTCATAGAATAAGGAGGCTCTAGAAGAGTCTCCCGTTAGAAAAAACATTGTATGCGACGTATTCTAAGACATATTGCCTGATTAGGTCGCACAATTAAAAGTAGCACACAGATTTCCTAAAAGACAAAATAAAGTTCAGATCTAGCAGCAGAAAAATAATAAATAAAGTAAGCAGCAAGGAAAATAAAAAAGTTTGCATGAACACGCTCCTCGTTGTTACCTGTGTCATTGTCCAGTTTTGGGCCTCTCACTACAAAAAAGACATTGAGGTTGTGGAGCATGTCCAGAGGAGGGCAACAAAGTTGGTGAAGGAGCTCAAACAGAAGTCTTATGAGGAGAGGCTGAGGGAACTGGGGTTATTCAGCCTGGAGAAAAGGAGGCTGAGGGGAGACCTTATTGTTCTCTACAACTCCCTCAAAGGAGGCTGTAGAGAGGCGGCGGTCCTTCTCTTCTCCCAAGTAACAGGTGAGAGGACAAGAGGAAACAGCCTTGAGTTGTGCCAGGATAGCTTCAGATTGGATATTAGGAAAAAATTTTCCACTTAAAGTGTTATTAAGCATTGGAACAGGCTGCCCAGGGAAGTGGCTGGGTCACCATCCCTGGAGGTATTTAAAAGATGGGTTGACATCATGCTTAGAGACATGTGGTTTAGTGATGGCTTTTGTCAGCGTTAAGCTGATGGTTGGACTAGATGATCTGAAAGATCCCTTGCGAACTAGGCAATTCTATGATCATTCTAAATCTTCAAGACCAGCAAATCCCAATAGCCAGGAACACATATTGCTCACATTAATTTAAGGGCAGACCAGATACAGTTCCACACTTTTCACTCAAATATTGTTGTGATTTTAGGTAGAACTTACAAAATTGTTCATTTCTTCCACTGATACCCACCTTTCATTGCCACACGAGTAAACTGCTTTTGCAGGAAATTCACATTATATCTCAAATAAATTAGCTGCCATGGGGAAAGTGCAAGTCACCAAAAGTAGATTAAGGACAAAATTCTACCCTACTGTCACTCTGTATGTGTTCAGCAGTCTTTGGCACACCCATCTTTCCAAAGCATACCATCCTTCTCCAGCACTGAAGTTAAAAGAAAACATTCAAATACTTACTGATAAGACTGTAGACTCAAATTGCATCTACTGTACATTGAAAGTGACAGAAGTACACAAAAAATTATTTCTTTTACTTAACTGAGGATTTTCTCACTGGCATGCAGTTTACTTACTCACTACATTAATTAAATTTCCCTTTAGAAGTAGGAATTATGTATTTTCTAGAGAATTATAATTCATTATAATGAATTAGGTTATTTAAAAAATTAAACTAACAATTTTTTTCATATACATAAGCATGCACTTGTTTTCTTCAGTCATCTTGCTGTTTCCTATGAATTTGTGGAAGTCTGAAATAGAGATGAAGCAGGGAGAGAAAACACAATGTAGTCAAGTTTTATCAAATGCATATTCCTATGTCCAAGTATGTGAGATGGGGTATTAACCTTAAATAAGAACAATGACACATTAAAATTAGATAAATCTCAATTATTTTCTGGTAAATAAAAACCGAAAATTGTTTACTTTCTCTAAATCAAATAATGACTTAGTACTGGATGCACAAAACACTCTTTAAAAGTTACATAGCTTTGGAATAAAACTTTAAAATTAAATTTTTTTGAAAAATATTGCATGGAAAAATCTTGAAATTGCTGTTCTTTCTCTGTCTTCAGTAATTCAGCCCATTCAGAAACAGAGTTTGAAAGACAGGACTTCAAGGTAGAGGGGCTTATTTTGAAAGTCACTATTATAAAAGTTATCAGGAGAACAGGCCATGTATTTCAAGTCCATGTTATTTTTGTCACAATTTGCTGTGATGGTTGTCAGTCAGTTAATCATATTTGTTTCAATGGTCTCTGCAAGACCATTACTTTTATTCTCTTCTCCATGAGTATCTCTTTTCTTAGTAAAAGTAGCAAACAGTGTATCCATCATTCCCAAAACTTCTAGTAGTTCCTCTTGATAGTCAATCTCTTTTCCTATGGCTTCCTGAAGTCTCAGGAACTGTCTATCAACAATTGCTGACTGCCCAACCACAGGCTGATAAATGTCTGTAAAAAAACCAAACAAACAAACACCACTTAAGAATCCACATATCTACAAAAATAAGAAAATTATATTAGCTTGTCAGAGATGCACTTAAGGAGTCTGGCGTAAGTCCAACATTGTGTACACACGAGACAACTTTAATGGTGTTCTGAAAAGTGTTAATTACTGGTATGTACTCACAGTAAGTCAAGCTAACAGAAGTTTTACCATCTCAAATACTATTTTTACCTCACTGCAGAAGCAGAAGTCACTCGTACTATGTAAGTATAGAAAGATGAAGTATCAAAGATACTTAAGAGACCATGAGGAGCTTCCTGCAGCCGGTGCAAATCAGATACTGACTGTGGTCAAAGTTATCTGGCAATATCTTTTTTTGAACCATTCTCTTGACCCTGAGCTCACGAACTTACAAACATAAAGGTTTTGCTTCTTAAAAACACAGCACTTTTACCTTCCAAGCTAGCTATATGGCTTTGGGAATCTTTTTTGTGTTGTACTTACCAGTGATCATATCTGCAACAGTCACCAGTATGGGAGTAAATCTAGGCTCAATCACACGCCTGCAAAAGTAGAAGACATCCCAATTTTACCAGTTTTGTCAACAGTACTCCTTTTCCCACCAACAAGCAGCTTTGTCATACAGCCAAACAGACAATTTCTCCTTCACAAATAGACACCACAGAACAGCACTCAGAGACACGAGGCAAAAATAGCCTCATGCATGGTATTTTCCCTGCTCCTTTCAGGAAGGCAGTGGGGGGTTGGAGGACTAGCAAAAGCCTGTACATGAAGTACATTACTTTTATCAAGGACACAGAAAATAACAGACTGAGGGTTGAATGTCTGGCAGAGAAGTGAAATATACTCTCTCCCACTATGAGAAAAATTGTTTTGTGGTAACATGTAAACTGTTTCAGTACTATCCCAGACCTGGCTATCAGAAAGCAGAGGCATGTGAGATTTCAAGAGCACCAGTTTTCCAGTACCCGTCTGTTGAGACTGTGGCACAAGTTATTAAAAAATACAGGTGTCAAAATAGTCAGAGAGAACTCAGGTTAAAATAATACCTTGCCACAAATGTAAGAAGGAGATTAATTTGCTTCTCGTCTCGTCCTGCAAGCGCGCTCCTCAGTGTGCCTCTGCGATGCAGCTCCTGCATGACTGCAACCGTAACTTCAGGAGTGTAAAGCCTGATGGGTGGCTGGACAGATACAGGAGTTTAGTACCAAAGCAACATCTTTACACACGAAACAGGGCTGATACCAGCAAAACCAAGACAGAACCCACACAATTTTGATTCCTTTCCAGTTATATGCTGAAATAAAATTAGTTCGACATAACAGAAAACACCCAGGTTAGATGACAGCACACAACTCTGGTGAGACAAACCCCAGTGATTTACCTCCAGCACTGCATCAAGGGCCTTGGAAGACTGAAAGCTCTTTAGCAGCTTGTCGTATTTCCTCAAAACACGTTTCACGGGTTTACTGACACAGAAATCTTCCTAGAATTGAAAGACAACTTCAGAATAAGACAGACATAGACACAATGAATTAGATGCATTACCAAACTTGTATGTGACTTCCCTCCCTTCCCTTTCTTTAACTTGGCACACTCAAAAAAAAAAGTTTTGAGGAGTGCTTCAGTACACTTTTTCTCACCCCCCTATACCTGTTTAGACATGTAAGTTCTTCCTTTCACATGGGTTCTATATGACGGCTGTCTCTTCTTTTGAGAATCTTCTTTCCTTTCTTCAGGTTTTCTGTGTTTAACATTTAGCACCCCATTGGTCATGCCTACAACTATGGTTTCGTCTTCAGGCTAAAATGAAGAAATCACAGTTAGGAACCCAGTGTTTTACTTGATGATGCATGCTCTACCATGCAGATTTGTAAATGAATATTCTTAATTAGAAGGCTCTAATCACAGTGTCATAGCATAACTTGAATTGGAAGGCACCTCTGTGAGATGCTTTGGTCAAATACCTTGTTCAAAATATGGACAGCTTCCAGGCTATGATTGTAAGCAACGTTATCCATCTAATAAACCTTTAACAAACATCTAGAGGGACTAAAGCCTGACTCAATGCTTTAGCCCAAATATGCATTAACAGCCTTCTGTAAGTATATTCTATGATATGCATTAACAGCCTTCTGTAAGTATATTCTATGATAAATAAATCCTTTGTTTACCCTCAAATGCCACAAGAGTCATTCTTAAAGAACAATAGCAGATTCAGAATATAATAAAAAAAAACCATGAAGAGAATCAAAGATTGGCTTGATTTGAGACGGAGCTCTTCAGTACGGGAAAAAAGATAACTGAAGAAGGATATGACAAAAGCCTACAGAATAATGACAGGTATGGATGGAAATGTCTCATCAATGTCTCATTTAGGGGCGTCAAATGAAGCTAATAAAGGTTCAAACGGACTGAAAGGACGCAATTCTTCACACAACACATAGCAGAAATGTGGAATTCCTTGTCAAGGAATCTAGTGAAGGTTAAAAGTTTATCCAAGCTCAAGGAAAGACTAAACAGGTTTATGTAAGGTAAATTCTTTGAATTACACAGAAACTACACTCTGATGAGCTAATTTCTCATCCAAAAATTAGTCTGGAGTTTGGGAGAGTATAAGGAAAATTGTCATACACACTTGCCCTGTTTTTCATTTTCCATGCATATCTACTTAGTTGGAAGCAGTATCTAGAATTAGACTGGCCTTTGGTTTGACCCAGTAGAGCCAGCCTTATGTTCTCATACGACCACTTAAAACTCAATGGTTTTAGTCAACAGGAAAGAAAACATTATGTTTCAAAAAATATATACACAGCTCTGGAGATGCCAAACTACAAGTATTGCACATTTCACAGCTGCTGTAGAGGCTTAAAGGGTATGGGGTTTTTTTTTTGGTTCTGTACTATTCACCTCAACCAAAGTAATTCAAAACTCATTTATGGAACAAGGTAGGAAATGATGAAAAGGAGACAGCCCCTACACACACACCTTCCCCTAGGTTGCAGAAGAGCAGGACAATAGTAAAGTAGCAAAGGTAGTATAGATCCCTCACAGTCCATTTACATGTCTTTCAAAGGCTACATAAGAGGGTGACTACATGGGGACAGCATTGTTTTAAAAAGTGGTGCTAGCCTCCAAATTTCTAGCCAGCGGGTCACATATCCATTGGAATTCAAATGTTTCAGAGAAATGAGAGTATTTGTTTTCTGTTTCCAAGACAGTACGAGGTATGTCTTAGCAAACAAATTTGTTCATGCTCATACCTCGTGCCCTCTCCTCTTTTCCTCAGATCAACCTGACACAAGCAACTTTTAAGACAAGTTCATCCTAATCTAAATTTCTCAACAAACGAACTACTTTTTTTCTTTCATCACTGGCACATAAGAAAACACAGAATGTTCCTGAAATGCAAAAGATAAGTACAAACTTCTTAAAGTCAAAAAACTTGCCTTCTAAACTGAATACTTTCCCTATGATATATACTGTCATTACTTAATAAGCACCAGTTTGTACAGATTTAATCAGGTAACATCTGGTATCTGAATGTATTATGTTTAGACCATCTTAATGCATTTTTCACTTGGGAGGAATATATTCTGTCATCCTACTTTTCTGTATAGCAGAAGAATAGCAATGAATGCAAAAATTAACTACTTCAGTGACTTAAAAGGTATCAGTAACTACCTTACCTAGAAAGATTGTACTTACCGACAATGCAAGACTGAGGATGGATGTTGCATAGTTAAAGCTGTGGACTACTTTGTAGGAAGTAGTACTGTAAATCTTCACATGCCTATATAAAAGAATAATGAGTAAAACTGCATTAGTAATGCCTTATTGTAGATACTTTACAGGGATTTCATCACTCTCATATCCATCTCTTCTATAGATCATTTTAAAAAACTGAGTATTTATAGAAAGCATTCTTCCATTTGAAGCTGAAGCCACTGAGCTTCTTAGTTATTAACTCTCCTGCAACTGAAAGGTTCTGTTAAAAGAGATATGAAAGTCAAGAAAGAATTACCCACATGCAAAAAAGATGAAAATGGGGCAAGGGCAGAAGAAATTGAAGAGGTAGTGACTATCTGACTTCAGCAATGCGTATTAGGAAACACTATGACAGCATTTCTTCAAATTTGTTCTTGAATTTTAGAAGTAAGATCTATTGACAATTTCTGGAAGTAAATCCATAGATATTCTTATATCTGGCTGCTCCTTAACGATTTGTTTGAAGATTGGAAATATTAAATTAATGGGAAACAAAATATTATCTTACAAGTATGAACTTCATTGTTGTGAGCAGTGAATGACAACACTGAAGTACAGCAGGGAGGGAGGAAGAGAAAAGACCACTGTCATTTCAGACCACCTCATATTTTTAATGCCTCTGAGACAACAGATTGAGTATTGGTGCTCAGCAACTCAACCCAAACAAACAAAAAAACAAGGAGGACATCTTTCACCTGTGCATCCTGGGTACAAAAAGCAATAGCACAGAGACACAAAACCCAGGCTCTTTAAAGGTGAATAATAGTATATTTTCTGTTATTCAAACTGTATTAAAGTTAAGAATATTTACTATATGGTGTTTGCAAAGGTCAGTTAAGAGGTTCAGAAAAATGAATGCTTATTCAGAAGTTCCTCACACACATTCCCAAATGGCACACGAAACCCTTACTGACATTCACGCTAATAAGAGAAAAAGGGTAACATATATCACAGTATATCCCTTGGCCCCAGGACATATTTTCAAATAAGTTACAACTCTAACAATTAAAAAGTGTTTAATCAAAAAAACCCCCAAAAAGCACAGATTCACACTGATGCATAATAACTTTCAAAGAAAAAAAAGTCCTAAAGAATTTATGTCACAACAAAGCCACAAAATCTACTAACCTGTCCAGGGATCCTGACAGCAACCTTTGTCCAGAGCTGTTCAGGCATAAACAAGTTACAGTTTTATGGTGATTTTTAAGTGAAACTAGTAATTGTCCGCCTTTTAGTACATCCCAAACTTTGACATATCGACCTCCTGTGAGAAGGAAGCACACAAAAAAGTTTGACAGATGTACACATTTACACTTCTCTGGAGAAGTTTTCACAGAGTGCTACAGTGCCTCCTCCATAACACAAAGTTTTCTGTACCTACTCACTACCCCCATCCATTATGACTATCTCGTGGGACAAGACACATTACCAGCCAGCTCTTTTTTAGGCCATTCTGCAGGCACAGCTGAACGATTCAACACACTCCTTACCAAGGAAAAAAAAAAAATATCTCTAGATACCACTGCATTACAGAACCTCTGATGCAATGGCAATAAGAGACTAAAAAACCTCTCATCATTAAGAGAAAGATCGAGTGTGTTCATGCCTTCACTTTAGCACTGGGTTAATTAGAATCTGTATCTTGTCATTAGAAATGTCTTTTCTTTCTTTTTTTTTTCAGACCAACTACAGGAAAATCAAATTAGAGACAAGACAACCCCTTCCTTCACCCTCCAGATCAATACAGATGCCTAAAGAAGATGTTTGAGAAATCCAGCAGTTACATCACTTATCACTTCATTACCAAATGAAAACACCACACAAGAAAGAAGCAGCCAAATTATTTCTCACAAATTAGGGCCACAGAAAAGATATTGATTTTATAAGTACCTGCAGATACCAGAAGCCCACCAGAAGGGAAGAGAAGCACGCTTTCCACAGGCTGGCCATGTTCTATTGTCATGACACTACTTTTTGTTCGTGCATCAAACAGCTTCACAGTGTGATCATAGGAACCTGCAAACAACATCACAAATATCTTCAGTTTCGTAATTTCAATTATTTCAGGAACTAAGACAGCCACATCCTACAACCTAAAGGAGCTCCTGCCAAATGGAAACAGCTTTAAACCATATACTTTGAACACTCTGTAGTTTATCTTGGTTAATTTACAGCCTTTGGGCAACATAAGCCTTTGAATTGTAACCTTAGCAATGTGTCAGGCCTTAAAAGTCATTTAAGTCTTAATTTTATTTCTCTTCCATTAATCAATTTATAACAATAAGTATGAGGCAACCTGATGAAACCTAGTATTCATTACTTCAGGAGGCACAAGAGACTATTTTTTCCATAGCAATTTACCACAGATTAATAGGAAGCTACTGCTAGGAAAACAGAAAGCAACTTATTTCGAGTAACTCCTCACATGACCTTTCAATTTTGATTCTGACAGTTTTGGGCTGTACAAACTACAATGGAACTAGTGTCCTTCTCCGGAAACCTGGATAAAACACTTCAGTCAATCCCAACTAAAGGATGCATTCACAGGACTTTCTTAAAACTTTCAAAGGCCAGTCGGAACAGTCCCATTAACCCCAATAGCCTAAAGCGAAACAATGTTAAAGATTAGGTCACTCAAGAGTTTCCTTACAAACATCATTGTCAAGCTTAAAAAGCAAGCAAAAAGGAAACAACAAAGTAGACAGTGAGTAGGAAGACACATCCTCCACATTTAAAATATAATAAACAAGACCCTACTGTATTCTCTGTATTTACAGAGCAGTGGATGTTGTTCACCTCGATTTTAGCAAGGCTTTTGACACTGTCTCCCACAACATCCTCACAGGTAAGCTTAGGAACTGTGTGTTAGATGAGTGGACAGTGAGGTGGATTGAGAACTGGCTGAATGGCAGAGCTCAGAGAGTTGTCATCAGCAGTGCAGAGCCCAGTTGGAGGCCTGTAAATAGCGGTGTTCCCCGGGGGTCAGTACTGGATCTTGTTCAATATAGTCATCAATGACCTGGATGAGGGGACAGAGTGTACCCTCAGCCAGTTTGCTGAGGGGTAGCTCACACCAGAAGGTGAGGGGTAGGGGTAGCTGACACACCAGAAGGCTGTGCTGCCGTACAGCAAGACCCGGACAGGCTGGAGGGTTGGGCAGCAAGGAACCCGATGAAGTTAAACAAGTGCAAGTATAGGGTCCTGCACCTGGGGAAGACTAACCCCATACATTGGTACAGGTTCACCTGCTGGGAAGCAGCTCTGCAGAGAGGGACCTGCAAGTCCTCTTGGACAGCAAACTGACCATGAGGCAGCAATGTGCCTTTATGGCCTAGAAGGCCAGTGGTTATCCTCCCCCTCTACTCTACGCTGGTGAGGCCACATCTGGAGTACTGTGTCCAGTTCTAGGCTCTCCAGTTCAAGAAAAACATGGAACTACTGGAGAGACTCCAGCAGAGGGCTGTGAAGATGATCAAGCAAACGGAGCACCACTCTTATGAGGAAAGGCTGAGAGACCTGTCTCTGTTTAGCCTGGAGAACAGAAGACTGAGATGGGATCTTATCAATGCTTACAAATATCTAAAGGGCAGGTGTCAAGACAGTGGGGTCAGGCTCTTTTCAGTGGTGCCTGCTGACAGGACAAGGGGCAACAGGCACAAAGTGGAACACAGGAAGTTCCGCTTGAACATGCGGAAAAACTTCTTCACGGTGAGGGTGGCAGAGCCCTGGAACAGGCTGCCCAGAGAGGTTGTGGAGTCTCCTTCTTTGGAGATATTCAAAACCCACCTGGACACAATCCTGTGCAGCCTGCTCTAGGTGAATCTGCTTGGGCAGAGGGGTTGGACTGTATTTGATCAGCAGTGGTCCCTTCCAACCCCTACCATTCTGTGACTCTGTCATTCCATATGACAATTTTCTTATTTCTGCATTTTAATTCAATTCAATCCAAAAGCATATATAAAATTAAAATCAAACCTGTTATAAACACATCTGCATTCACTTTACTTGCACATCCGCATCTCACATAGTCTGTATGTTCACTGTATGAGATGATTTCCGTACCACTTGGAATATCCCACAAATTTGATGAGTAATCATCACCACCAGAAAATATTCGGTATTTATCAGACAGGAAGCCCACTACATGAGCAGCTCTAGAAATCAAAGTAAACAATATCCAAAGTTAAAACATATACTTGTTTCCAGAAGAGTTAAGTCTGTATGAAAAGCTTATTTAAGTATTCTCTTTAACTTAAAAGTGCAAAGTGTCTACTGTTGGTGGTTACAAGGCCTCACTTGAGAGGTTAAAAACATGTTAGCTTTTTTATTTCCAGCCAGAAAAAGGGTCATGCTGACAGATGGTTACCTAAGCACTGATATGACCTGTCTTAAAGGTTTTACAAGTCCACTAGATGCTCATTCAAAAGCTGTAAATTCTGCTTTTGTTACTTAAAGGTCTGTGTACTAGCACTGTTTAGGAAAAAAAATATAATAGACAATTTTAAGTATGACTGGACTGGACACTCTTCTTGTTCTTTATCACTATTTGAATCTCTATTATCATCATAACATTCCAAGAGCAAATGACTTTGACAGAAAACAGATAACTTAAATCCTACCATCATTACCCTAATGTTTAGGACATAAGACAATACCCAATCTACAAACACAAACCTCACATACAAATACTCTCGACACCTGCTGTTTGCTTTCCACTGAAAGGAGGTGGTTGTGGTGTTCTAGGCAGATAAAACATGTTCCAGTCTTCCATAGCATTATCATTACCTTCTCGTCATTAGTAGATCAGAACTCCTCTTCTAACTCCATCCCCACCCCAACCACACCCAACCACCACGCACCAAGGATTTTCTAATTTTCCCTAATTTTCTAGGGATTCCTGCTCTTCCTGGACTATTTCTTCACCGTTTTTGTTTAGCCACTTTTTAGAACTCTTTTCCTGCCAGCATCAAATAAACTGCGCCATGAAGCCAGAAGACTATGTCTACACAACACATTAACAGACACCTACCTGAATTAGAACATGCATTTATTCTTTCATGTACTCAATTCATATTTAGAATAATTAAAAAAAAAAATCACTCCAATTTTGAATTCAGTTTAAAAATCTACACTTCAGTTAGACCTACATGAGATGGTTACAAGCAACATAGATCAGTATGGGGTAGCTCACACCAGAAGGTGAGGGGTAGGGGTAGCTGACACACCAGAAGGCTGTGCTGCCGTACAGCAAGACCCGGACAGGCTGGAGGGTTGGGCAGCAAGGAACCCGATGAAGTTAAACAAGTGCAAGTATAGGGTCCTGCACCTGGGGAAGACTAACCCCATACATTGGTACAGGTTCACCTGCTGGGAAGCAGCTCTGCAGAGAGGGACCTGCAAGTCCTCTTGGACAGCAAACTGACCATGAGGCAGCAATGTGCCTTTATGGCCTAGAAGGCCAGTGGTTATCCTCCCCCTCTACTCTACGCTGGTGAGGCCACATCTGGAGTACTGTGTCCAGTTCTAGGCTCTCCAGTTCAAGAAAAACATGGAACTACTGGAGAGACTCCAGCAGAGGGCTGTGAAGATGATCAAGCAAACGGAGCACCACTCTTATCAGGCAAGGCTGATAGACCTGTCCCTGTTTAGCCTGGAGAACAGAAGACTGAGATGGGATCTTATCAATGCTTACAAATATCTAAAGGGCAGGTGTCAAGACAGTGGGGTCAGGCTCTTTTCAGTGGTGCCTGCTGACAGGACAAGGGGCAACAGGCACAAAGTGGAACACAGGAAGTTCCGCTTGAACATGCGGAAAAACTTCTTCACGGTGAGGGTGGCAGAGCCCTGGAACAGGCTGCCCAGAGAGGTTGTGGAGTCTCCTTCTTTGGAGATATTCAAAACCCACCTGGACACAATCCTGTGCAGCCTGCTCTAGGTGAATCTGCTTGGGCAGAGGGGTTGGACTGTATTTGATCAGCAGTGGTCCCTTCCAACCCCTACCATTCTGTGACTCTGTCATTCCATATGACAATTTTCTTATTTCTGCATTTTAATTCAATTCAATCCAAAAGCATATATAAAATTAAAATCAAACCTGTTATAAACACATCTGCATTCACTTTACTTGCACATCCGCATCTCACATAGTCTGTATGTTCACTGTATGAGATGATTTCCGTACCACTTGGAATATCCCACAAATTTGATGAGTAATCATCACCACCAGAAAATATTCGGTATTTATCAGACAGGAAGCCCACTACATGAGCAGCTCTAGAAATCAAAGTAAACAATATCCAAAGTTAAAACATATACTTGTTTCCAGAAGAGTTAAGTCTGTATGAAAAGCTTATTTAAGTATTCTCTTTAACTTAAAAGTGCAAAGTGTCTACTGTTGGTGGTTACAAGGCCTCACTTGAGAGGTTAAAAACATGTTAGCTTTTTTATTTCCAGCCAGAAAAAGGGTCATGCTGACAGATGGTTACCTAAGCACTGATATGACCTGTCTTAAAGGTTTTACAAGTCCACTAGATGCTCATTCAAAAGCTGTAAATTCTGCTTTTGTTACTTAAAGGTCTGTGTACTAGCACTGTTTAGGAAAAAAAATATAATAGACAATTTTAAGTATGACTGGACTGGACACTCTTCTTGTTCTTTATCACTATTTGAATCTCTATTATCATCATAACATTCCAAGAGCAAATGACTTTGACAGAAAACAGATAACTTAAATCCTACCATCATTACCCTAATGTTTAGGACATAAGACAATACCCAATCTACAAACACAAACCTCACATACAAATACTCTCGACACCTGCTGTTTGCTTTCCACTGAAAGGAGGTGGTTGTGGTGTTCTAGGCAGATAAAACATGTTCCAGTCTTCCATAGCATTATCATTACCTTCTCGTCATTAGTAGATCAGAACTCCTCTTCTAACTCCATCCCCACCCCAACCACACCCAACCACCACGCACCAAGGATTTTCTAATTTTCCCTAATTTTCTAGGGATTCCTGCTCTTCCTGGACTATTTCTTCACCGTTTTTGTTTAGCCACTTTTTAGAACTCTTTTCCTGCCAGCATCAAATAAACTGCGCCATGAAGCCAGAAGACTATGTCTACACAACACATTAACAGACACCTACCTGAATTAGAACATGCATTTATTCTTTCATGTACTCAATTCATATTTAGAATAATTAAAAAAAAAAATCACTCCAATTTTGAATTCAGTTTAAAAATCTACACTTCAGTTAGACCTACATGAGATGGTTACAAGCAACATAGATCAGTATTATTCTGATTTTCAGCAACATGCAAAGCAGACAAGCAAAAGAAAAAAACAACACTCTCTTACTTAGTATGACCATCAAATTGTCTCAGGGGTGCTCTTCCACTAAGGTCAAAGAGGCGAATGCTGCCTTCCTCACTGCCAGCAACAAGCAGATTGCCATCGTCTCTGTATGTGGCACAATAAGCAGCATCTTTGAAGCGAGAAAACGTTTTGACTGGTTCCTGAGAGTAACGACCGTAAATGTGGATCTAGTGAAAGAAGAAGACATTAAGTTTGCTCACATGATACCAACTGAAATACAGGGATATAAAGACCTCAGAAAAGCCACTTACCCTTGAGGAGGCTGTGACAGCATAGTTATATGGAGAAACTGGGCAGAAGTCAATTTTATTTATTGCACCGAATTCCTTTATCTGAACAGGTGTCTAAAACAATTGCGATAAAGATCATTCAAGTCCTCTTGGACAGCAAACTGACCATGAGGCAGCAATGTGCCTTTATGGCCTAGAAGGCCAGTGGTTATCCTCCCCCTCTACTCTACGCTGGTGAGGCCACATCTGGAGTACTGTGTCCAGTTCTAGGCTCTCCAGTTCAAGAAAAACATGGAACTACTGGAGAGACTCCAGCAGAGGGCTGTGAAGATGATCAAGCAAACGGAGCACCACTCTTATGAGGAAAGGCTGAGAGACCTGTCTCTGTTTAGCCTGGAGAACAGAAGACTGAGATGGGATCTTATCAATGCTTACAAATATCTAAAGGGCAGGTGTCAAGACAGTGGGGTCAGGCTCTTTTCAGTGGTGCCTGCTGACAGGACAAGGGGCAACAGGCACAAAGTGGAACACAGGAAGTTCCGCTTGAACATGCGGAAAAACTTCTTCACGGTGAGGGTGGCAGAGCCCTGGAACAGGCTGCCCAGAGAGGTTGTGGAGTCTCCTTCTTTGGAGATATTCAAAACCCACCTGGACACAATCCTGTGCAGCCTGCTCTAGGTGAATCTGCTTGGGCAGAGGGGTTGGACTGTATTTGATCAGCAGTGGTCCCTTCCAACCCCTACCATTCTGTGACTCTGTCATTCCATATGACAATTTTCTTATTTCTGCATTTTAATTCAATTCAATCCAAAAGCATATATAAAATTAAAATCAAACCTGTTATAAACACATCTGCATTCACTTTACTTGCACATCCGCATCTCACATAGTCTGTATGTTCACTGTATGAGATGATTTCCGTACCACTTGGAATATCCCACAAATTTGATGAGTAATCATCACCACCAGAAAATATTCGGTATTTATCAGACAGGAAGCCCACTACATGAGCAGCTCTAGAAATCAAAGTAAACAATATCCAAAGTTAAAACATATACTTGTTTCCAGAAGAGTTAAGTCTGTATGAAAAGCTTATTTAAGTATTCTCTTTAACTTAAAAGTGCAAAGTGTCTACTGTTGGTGGTTACAAGGCCTCACTTGAGAGGTTAAAAACATGTTAGCTTTTTTATTTCCAGCCAGAAAAAGGGTCATGCTGACAGATGGTTACCTAAGCACTGATATGACCTGTCTTAAAGGTTTTACAAGTCCACTAGATGCTCATTCAAAAGCTGTAAATTCTGCTTTTGTTACTTAAAGGTCTGTGTACTAGCACTGTTTAGGAAAAAAAATATAATAGACAATTTTAAGTATGACTGGACTGGACACTCTTCTTGTTCTTTATCACTATTTGAATCTCTATTATCATCATAACATTCCAAGAGCAAATGACTTTGACAGAAAACAGATAACTTAAATCCTACCATCATTACCCTAATGTTTAGGACATAAGACAATACCCAATCTACAAACACAAACCTCACATACAAATACTCTCGACACCTGCTGTTTGCTTTCCACTGAAAGGAGGTGGTTGTGGTGTTCTAGGCAGATAAAACATGTTCCAGTCTTCCATAGCATTATCATTACCTTCTCGTCATTAGTAGATCAGAACTCCTCTTCTAACTCCATCCCCACCCCAACCACACCCAACCACCACGCACCAAGGATTTTCTAATTTTCCCTAATTTTCTAGGGATTCCTGCTCTTCCTGGACTATTTCTTCACCGTTTTTGTTTAGCCACTTTTTAGAACTCTTTTCCTGCCAGCATCAAATAAACTGCGCCATGAAGCCAGAAGACTATGTCTACACAACACATTAACAGACACCTACCTGAATTAGAACATGCATTTATTCTTTCATGTACTCAATTCATATTTAGAATAATTAAAAAAAAAAATCACTCCAATTTTGAATTCAGTTTAAAAATCTACACTTCAGTTAGACCTACATGAGATGGTTACAAGCAACATAGATCAGTATTATTCTGATTTTCAGCAACATGCAAAGCAGACAAGCAAAAGAAAAAAACAACACTCTCTTACTTAGTATGACCATCAAATTGTCTCAGGGGTGCTCTTCCACTAAGGTCAAAGAGGCGAATGCTGCCTTCCTCACTGCCAGCAACAAGCAGATTGCCATCGTCTCTGTATGTGGCACAATAAGCAGCATCTTTGAAGCGAGAAAACGTTTTGACTGGTTCCTGAGAGTAACGACCGTAAATGTGGATCTAGTGAAAGAAGAAGACATTAAGTTTGCTCACATGATACCAACTGAAATACAGGGATATAAAGACCTCAGAAAAGCCACTTACCCTTGAGGAGGCTGTGACAGCATAGTTATATGGAGAAACTGGGCAGAAGTCAATTTTATTTATTGCACCGAATTCCTTTATCTGAACAGGTGTCTAAAACAATTGCGATAAAGATCATTAAGTACATATAAGCACACCATCAAAAACTAAAACAGCAAAACAAAACCTATTCTTCCTACAGAGAGCTCAAAACTCCATTTAGAACGAAATCATTTTTTAAGTACAATCCTACTGAGTTTCTCTTCTGCCAGGCTACTTCTGCTCTTACCAATTTTTTCCAATTCATGCATTACACCTGACCCAGTAGTTATGTGTTTTGAGGAAAAAACAACCTTAGTCACTCACACGTGTTTAAAGATACTTTGATTTTGCATGAAAGCAGCAAAAAAAACTAGGGCAGTAACTACATCTGTTGAGCCAATTTGGGGCACAAGTCAGTCTCGTTTCCTGGGAAGCCGCTTAACAGGTTGCAGGGCGGTCCTAAGGCACGGCTGCTAAGCGGGACCACAGGAGCTGGCAGAACAGGCAGGGAGCAGACCCCGCGCCCTGTGACCGGGTCACACCCGGCGCTCTGGCCCGCTGCCTCCCACGCCGGGCCTGCCTCCTACCTTGTAGCCCCGCCAATACAGCGTGTCCTGCGTGATCTTCTCCCCGAGCTTGGGGACGGTCTGGACCACCACCGGTTTGTAGGAGGCCATGGCTGGCCGGCAGCAAGGGCCGCCGGGCGAGGCCGAGGCCTGCGCGGCGCCTTCTCAATCAGGGAGCGCGCTCGAGTGGCGCTCCCGCCCGTGGGCTCGGGCAGACAGATGGGTGGCTCTGCGGGAGGAGCCCGGGGAAGGTCCGGCCGGTCCGCGCCGCCTCAGGGGCCAAGGGCCGCCACGCCGCCGCCGCTATGGCGAGCCCCACGCCGGCCTGCAGCAGAGCCAACGCGGTCATCTGCACCAAAACGTCATCAGCAAGCGACTCTGCCCAGCCAATCGCCACAGCGCCAAGCGGCGGGGA